ACTAGGAATGCTTGCTAACACCCACTGGAGCGGCAACTATGAGTCAGTTCTGACTCAAGAGTACAAAGCAACAACCACCCTTAAATTAAGTAAATGTGTATGTTGATAAAAAGGAAGCAAAGCCATGTTTATAACAGCAAGCAGATATAGTACTGGAATCATAGATGTATTAGTGTTCAAGATTAAGCATGTTCTTCCTTCAATTGTAAACTTGAACCACAAACTTAATTATCTTGTCATTAGCACGCAATGTCCTGGAAGTATAAACCACACAGACCGTGGGACTGGGCACTGGAAATGAGGAAGAGAATACAAATCTCTCTAGACTCTTTATTGCCTTCAGTTTTTTTTTAAATGTGCTAATGCATAATAAGTATTAGATTTTCCCCAAGATAGTTACCCCTTTGAGGACACAACATGACCTCTCTAGCCTGAATTCTTAAATCTGTCATTTTCAAGAGTCTGAGTTAAACACATTTATGAATAATATTTAATGTGTTCCTTACTAGTGGCTAAATGGTCACCAAAACCACTGGGCAAAGGGATGGCAGTGAGTAAAAGAAATTAAGAGACTTATTCTTAAATGCAATGGCTTTCTAAGGCCAATTTCCCCTCCCAACCAAGGTTGTCTATAATGTTTCTTGGACCATAAAGTCAACATTGAGGTTTTAGTGATGGAGGCTTTGGGAGAGAGTGATGGGAATGAGTCTCCAGCGGAAAAAACAACTCTCAGTGTTGGCTGAGATTTGCACATCGGTGACTCTCAAGCCCTTTAGGAAAAGCTAAAAGTTGTCCTCATGTTCAAATAGACTTAAATTCTCTGCTTTCAAGCCCAAGTCTGTAAAAGGAACAGCTTACTGTATATTATGACCTGTTATACTAATGGATGAGTGTATATCATATAAAATAAGCATGTTCATAAACAAAGAGCAATTACGATGGTCAGTTTATATGTCTGCCAGCGCTAAAACATTAACTTGTAAGGAGCAGACATGACTGAAAACACGCCGCTAGCAAGGGCGCTATACAATGACGACAAAAGAAGGGCTCCAGCGTTTGAAATGTTCACTTCTTTTCCCAGTCTATTTATCTCTTTTCCTCAAACTGCAAGAACTGCATTGAGTTCCACCTGTGGGAGTCTAATTTAGAACAGAGAATTCTAAAACTTGATTCTAAATTGAAGATGATTCATAATTAATATTGTGCCAAGTTTCATCACAAACCTCCAGATGAGTCTGAATGATTATCATCTTTGGGAGGAAACAGCAGTGTACAGGCTTACTTTAAGATCCTTTTGTTAGATTTGCAATCTAGAGGTTCCCCTTGGTGCACATCCAGTGGCAGGCAGCAACGAAGTGAGGTGGTTGTCAACTCAGTAGACAAAGAAGAGGGAGAAAGCCTGCAACAGTGGAGAAAGGTTGGTGGCCGCACAAGGTCAAGAGTGCGTCCCTGGGGGAGGAAATGGCAGCCCAGCATAGAGTGTTGGGACTAAACTGGTATGAAGGCTTTGGCACATGGGGAGTGTGATGGTCTAAGATGCAGTGGCAGCAAGGGCACAGCACAGGGCATCAGACTTGAGCCTGAGGCACAGAGCAATCAGGGCATAAGAGAGGTGAGGAGAGCCTCTGGTGGAGCATGTTTGTTATGTGAAAGGAGAGTTGTGACTACTCTGAATAAGTTTCAGGAATCAAAAGGAGTGTGAAGTCATGATCATTAGCTATAAGAGAGATGCAAATCAAAACAACAGGAAGGTATCATCTTATGCCTGCAATAATAGCAAAACTCAATAAGACCAAAAAAGAACAAATAATGGCTAAGTATGTGTTCTAAGATTGTAACTCTCATTCATTGTTGCTCAACTCAACTCAATCTTTCGCCTCTGAGTATGGACCAATTTGTCACTGACCCTCCAGCAGGTTTTCCAAGGCTGCAGAATCCTCGGGAGGAGACGGTTCATCTTTCCCCTATGAAGCAGCTGGTGGAATTGAACTGCCTGCCACTGGGTTGGTAATTCAACTCCTTACTCACTAGGCCACCAAAAGTCCCTGCTCACTGAAGTGGGCATGTGAAATGGTGCAACTGCTTTGGAAAGGAATTTAGTGATTCCTTAGAGTGCTGGGAATAGAAATGCCATTTGATGCAGCACAATTGAGAGATTTAAGAGCATCAAAATCTCCTGCCACGGGTCAGATATATCTGCATGTCATTACCAATTCGGAGACTAGTCATCCCTAGGAATGACTTACCCAGTAGAGAGTTCCATTTGGCCCCTACTTCCCTTCCTACCCTTGGCAATGGCCATTTTTATAGAGAATAATAAGGATATAACTGAATTATGTAGGAGAGAGGCAGGCCAAAACCAAACCCATTGAATTGGGTCAATTCTGATTCATAAAGACCTGAGTAAAATTGATGTTCCACAAGAGAGAAGAAAATGGCTATTAGATGAATAATCTCTATTACAATGGGATAGCCCATAAATGATGGAGGGAGAGCAGGCCTCTCCCTTTATATCTGCTACTCTATGGAAGGAATGAAAATTACATCCCAAACATACCAAAAACAAAAATTAAGTTTCAGGTGGATTAAAATTTTCAATGTAAAAAAATTTTTGCACGTGGTAATGGCCACCCATGGTGGAACAGTATTGGCTGGAGCTTCCCGACTAAATCAAGCCTGGAAGCAGGAGTGGCATCCACTTCCGAAATGGCTTGCCTCTGGAAACTCTATGTACAAACAGTGTTCAGGCTGTTCGTTCACAGGGTCTCTATGAGTTGTCTACGACTCAACGGCATTAAACAACAACAACAACGATTTAATCATAGAGAGTGATCAGCTGGCCCAGTGGACTGAAAGTGATGCAACCAAGGCAAAGGTGGGTGACTTTTAATCTGCATATCTGTCTTTCGCTGTTTTTGGTCAAACATTCCTCTAGGTTGTATAGCCCTGGTGTGTCCACTTGCCGTACAACGGTAACTTGTGGTTACTGTGAGGCTGAACACTGTGATGCTGATGTGTCAAATGCAATGGTTGGTTACCCATGGCGGACAGTGTTGAGGGAAACTCCCCAATTAAGACAAGCTTGGAAGCAGGAGCAGCATCCACTTCCATAATAGCTTGCCTCCAGAAACCCTATGAACCTGGAGAGTGGATGAGAGATACACAAGTGTTGAGGACTCTCCTTCATAGGATCGCTATGAGTCGGCTGCAACTCGATGGCACTTAACAGCAACAATGATTTAATCATGGCAAATAACTTTTTCAACAACAGAAACAGCAACTGTATTGTGTATTGCCAGAAGGAAGGCACCTGAACCAAATTAACTACATCTATACAAAAAGACGAGGGAGAAATTTAATACTATCAGTTAGAACAAGCCTGAGAACAAATCTATTGCTTATATGTAAGTACAAGCTAAATTATCATATAAAACCACTACTATACAAAGTTAAGAAAAGGTTTACACATAGGTAGAATCAATCTTGGAAGGTTAACAGGGATGAGAAGATAGCAAAAAAAAGTACAAGCTGAAGTCAAAGAAAATTGCAACAGGTCAACACAAGCCAAAATCCACCTTTGGTATATCCCACCTGAATTTAGTGACAGTCCTAAGAATAAATTTGATATGTTGAATGCTGATAATTAAAGATCACACAAGTTGTGGGATAATATCAAAGACATGATATATGAAGAAAACAAAAGTTCATTGAAAAAGACAGGAAAGAAAGAAAATGCCAAATGTATGACAAAACATGTTCTTGAATATAGACTATCTAAAGTGAACAGAAGAAATGACAATGCTAAAGAGATTATCACACTATTTCAGAGGTCTGTTCAAGAACACAAAGTAAAGTACTATAATGACGTGTACAAAGAGTTGAAGTTAGGAAAACAAAAGGGAAGAACAATACTCTGCATTCCTCAACTTGAAAGAACTAAAGAAAAATTCAGCCTCACGTTGCCACAGTCAAGTTTTGATGGGCAAAAAAACTGAACTCAGGAAGCATCAAAAGAACATAAAGGAGTACATAGAGTCACCATATCAAGAAGAATGGGTCGATGACCAATGATTTCAGGAGGCAGCTTATGATCAAGTACCAATGATTCTGAAGGAAGAAGGCCGAGCTGTACCAATATGGATTATACTTCAATATAAATAAAAGTCTCACATGTAGACCAATAAACAACATCATGAGAACAGAGAAAAGGTTGGAGATGTCAAGGATTTCATTTTACTTAGATCCATGATAACAGCCATGGAAGCAACTATCAAGAAATCAAATGACAGAGTGAGTGCATTGGGAAAATCTGCAAAAGTTCTCTTGTAAAAAGATGTCACTTTGAGGATTAAGGCACATCTGATGGAAAACATGGTCTTTTCATGGCCTGCCTCATTTGCTAAAAAGCTAAACAATGCATAAAGAAAGCAGATGAGAACTGATGCCTTTGAATTAGCATGGGCAAAGCATACTAAATATACCATGGACTGACAGAAGCCTGAAGAAATCTGTCTTGGAAGCAGTCCAGTCATAATGTTTCTTAGAAGTGAAGATAGCCAGACTTCAGCTTAGTACTTTAAGTCAAATTATCAGAAGGACCAGTCCTTGGAAAAAGACACTGTACTTGATAAAATAGTGGGGCAACAAAAAAGAAAAATATGCTCAATGAGGTGGATCGATCATTGCTGAAGTATAAGAACCACTGTGAGGATGTCAAAGGACTTTGTTTTCTGTTCTACAGCACATGAGCTTGCTATGAGTTGGAATAACAACAGCTTATTTGAGAATTCACAGCTGTAATTCTTTTTTTTTAAAAAGTATTAAAGTCTACTTGAGCTTTAATTTGACGTACTCAGAGCATATGACACAGAGCACATCTCCACAATATGATTTATTACTAAGATTATAATAAATATCTAAGGGTTTGGTTTTGGGGTTTTTTTCCCATAGAAGTTAGAATTTGTTTCTTAACATCCAGAGAAGTACACACAGAAACATACCTGGAGAAGGAGCCTTTCAAAGGCCAGAAAGTTGTCCCATTTGGCAGTCTGCAGCTGTTTCAGAGTTTGAACCGTGGCCAGTCCAAGCTGTAGGAGACCACAGTGATTCATTAGAGCTTTGTGGTTGTTCTTGAAGAGCTGAATATAGGACGTGAGCTGTCCTGGTGTGACTCTCCCTGGAAAAAACATAATAATTTATCAGTGTCCTCTCTTTAAGAGTGGTAAGAAGAATGAAAATGATATCATTAATAACACAATTGCTTTACATTTGCACAGAAATGTAGAGTGGACTACAAATTCTCCTAAACTACTGTGATTCTTCCAACAATCTGGCAAGAATCGCAAAATTGATTGTATAACCTGCAATCTGCAAGTAAGGAAGCAGATGTAAAGTGATCTGGCCAAGGCCATATTCTAAGAACATTTGGTTTTTTGAAAGAAGTTGTGAAATACTCAGTAAATAATCTCTCAAAATAGGATACAAAAGAAATTCTATTTGTTAGGCTCAATATAGAATATCTTTCCTTAATATATGGCATATGTTCCAAGAGTCAAAAGCCAAGACTTAGAAATGTGTGTATCCAAAAAAGAGCAGAAATCTGTTGCATTTACAGTTAAAATATCACTATTAACAATAAACTTATGGCAATAATCATGTGGAAAAAGGCTTGCTGTTCCATAGGACAAAATGCTTGCAGGATGCTGAAAATGGGTATGAGCAGAAAGGGTTTGATAAGGGTGATAAAGCACATTTGCTTACAAGGGTCACCAAGATGCTGGAGAAGAAAACTTACTCAAGACTAAATGGCATACAAGGGGGGAGGGGGGAACTACAGGAAGATTGGCTCCTTCAGAGATTCAAAGTTCAACTTCTGCCCAAAGTAGTACTTCTGCTAAGTCAATTCCCACATCAACTGTTTATTAGTGATCTGCACAAGTGTCTGGATACTACAGATTTTTGCTACTGGACAACAAGCAGGGGATGGGACCAAATATATACGTAAGTCAAGTGAATCCCACATGTCTCATCCATGTACATATATACGCAGGGTGTTCTCCTGTGCCTGCAATTCCAAATCTGTTGGTCATATCCAAGCATGTTAACACTCGGCAATAAAACCACCTTCATTTGTTTAGCACTCTCCTCTTTGTAGAGTGATTTCACAAACACAGGCCCTTCTCATTTTCTTGGTACTTTTATGAAAAAGAAAGCAAGGCACATGCTGGGTCTACCTTCCCTATCTGTGGGCACTAACTACTTAATGTCTTTTCTAACACTAAATGGCATATATCATTTAATAAACTTAAGGGGGTTTTACTAAATATTACAATATACAAAGCATGAAGCCCTTGCTACAAGACACATTTTTTAACTTTTTAATTTTTTTTACTTTTTCCTTTTTTATTAATTTTTGTATTCATTTTAATGAAAGTTTACAGACTTTGGATTTCCATTCATTCCCTGTTGCACTTTTCTCCCTGCTTACCCCCTCCCTCCCAATTCACTCTTCTCTTTGAAAAACAAAAGAAAAATTCCTTCATTGTTATACAATCCCTCCCCCCATGTCCACTCCACTTTGCAGCCTTCATTCTGGACTCCTGTCATGACGATATCACCTACTCATATATCCCTTTTAAACAGTTCTCTTTCTCATCTGCTTCAATACAGTATACATTATCTATTCACTCTTTCTAGTCTTCCCTCAACCCTGATGTCAGTCCTGTTTTACAACAGTGGCACTATGCAATATTTGTCCTTTTGTGGCTGAGATATTTCACTCAGCATAATGTCCTCCAGGGTCATCTGTTTTGTATAATATTTCATGAGTTCCTTGTTTTTCAAAGCAGAATAGTATTCTATTGTGTAAATATACCAGAGCTTTTCTATCCATTTGTTTGTTGATGGGTACTTGGGTTATTTTCAACTCTTTGCTATTGTGAACAAAGCTGCAATAAACATGGGTATGCATATATCTGCTTGGGTGGTGGTTATGGTTTCCTTAAGGTATAGTCTCAGCAGTGAAATTTCTGGGTCAAATGGTATTTCTATTTGCAACTTTTTGAGAAAGTGCCATACAGCCTTCCTTACTGGTTACACTCCAACCCACAGTGAATAAAGGTTCCAGTTTCTCCACAACCTCTCCAGGATTTTATGTTTGCTGTTCTGTTAACTTTTGCTATTGTTACTGGGGTGAGATGATATCTCATACTTGTTTTGATTTGCATCTCTCTTAGAGCTAGGGATTTTGAACATTTCTTTTTGTGTTTGTTAGCCATCTGAATGTCTTCTCTGGTGAAATGTTTGTTCAGATCCTGTGCCCATTTTTCAATTGGGTTGCTTATCATTATCTTGTTGTGGTGCTCGAGTATTTTATAAATTCTATATATAAGACCCTTGTCTGACATGTCATTACCAAATATTTTTTTTCCCAATCTGTGGGTTCCCCTTTTACCTTGTTGGAGAATTTTTTGGATGTGCAGCTACAAAACACATTTAAAGCCGGTATCATTTTCTCATATTTTTAATTTTTCCTTTTTAAAGATATTAAGGATTTTTCTAGTTCCTTATTAACAACTAGTTTATTAGGGTGAGAACCTAAAGGAAAAAGAGAAGCAAGAGAAAACAAGAAGGTCTCACATTTCTTCTTACATTTCCTGCAGTTCATGATAAAGCAAAGAGCCCTCGTGGAGTTTTAAGTACTGGGCAGCTAACTGAATGATCAGAGATTGGAATCCATTAGCTGCTCTATGAGAGAGAGATGAAGCCTTCCCCTCTCATTAAGATTTACAGCCTTGTTCCAGGTATGAAGGGTGACTAAGGGCTATGGTTCACCTTTTAGGCAAACAACAGACAGGCCTATAAGGTCAACCATAATACAAGGGAGACATGTACTGCTTCAAATAACCAGTATAGATGATAGACAGACAGACGGATGGATGGATAGATAGATGATAGATAGATAGATAGATAGATAGATAGATAGATAGATAGATAATAGATAGACAGATGATAGATAGATAGATAGATAGATAGATAGATAGATGACAGATAGATAGATATACACATACACACGTGTGTGTGTGTGTGTGTGTGTGTGTAAGTGTATATGTACATATGTTGTTGTTGTTGTTATGTGCCGTCGAGTGGTTTTCGACTTATAGAGACCCTATGCACAACAGCCCTAAACCCTGCTCTATCCTGTGCCAACCACACTGCCTCTGACACACCCATCCCGATTACCCCAGTCACAGAATCAAT